AATACAATAAAATAACTATTAAAATAAGATTTGATAACAAGAACAATATATGACTTGAAACAATAAAGAATGATTAGAGTATTAATTAATAAAACGTTAATTCAAATTGGAAGGAATGACTTATTTTATTTTAAAATACATTAAGGAGCTCTAGATAGGTGACAGACAATGTTCCAGTATGGTAACCAGCGGATGACCTCATTAAATAACAAAGAACTAACCTGAGGATCTTCAGCCCTGACCGGAGGACGACTTCACACCTAGATGTTCATCAGGATTTCTTTCATTCTATTATGCTTTTGATGTCATCAAATTGGAAAAGAGGAAACGGCCTCTTTGTTAAACTCACCAAATTGTGGGCAGAATAAATCCCAAAAAGATGAGCATCCGTTACTCAGCTGACGACCCTGAGTTCAAAACTATAAGGAAAATGAGCTACTGGAGACCAGAGGATCATCTTTGTTATTTCTCCTATTATCAAGTTTTCATCTTTTGTCTACGACGTGCCAACGAACTCATCTTACTTCAAGGAGCATCAAGAAACACAGAGACACAAAATGAAGATATGTAAAAAAAAAAAAGAAAGAAAAGGAAAAAAATTTACAAAACTATTCAACTGGAGGTTTATTGATAGTTTGTAAGTCTTATATATGCAGTATATTGTATCTATATTGTATCATTTATTGCAGGGATAATTTTGGACAAATATTTGTGTAACATCCTATTTGTATCAGGAATACTTGATTGACGTGGTAAAGTTTCTGTTAAGTATTGATAAATTTTATGCATTTTAAATTATCTTTTTGGTAAGACATGACTCTGGGCTAGATAATTTTGAACATTTATTTTATGTTTTGAATCCCTTATATGATTTTGCTGTCTGATTTGGTCTGATTTTATGTGCAATGAATATGCCAACATTTTAACAGCAAATGTTATGTAGAAGGTTGCATGCAAAAAGAGGGAATTTATCAGCTATAATACGGTGTTTCTGAATTTAGGCTTATACTATCGCATAGTATATTTTAAATTTATATTTTAGAGTGTAATCTCTATTAAGAGATTAAAAGAGGGAACTGTTGAGAAAATAAATTTAAAATAAGCTAGTTTTAAAACTTAACATGTCTTGACTCAAATGCCCTAATTGTGGTTTTGAAATTAGTAATGTATTCTGGCTCTTTGACCTTTATGTTACCCATAGTTACAGCAGATGGTTTGCTAGGATCGTTTGAACTGCCTTTTGTCTGTGTGGGAAAACAATACAGTGGAAGTTGTAGCTTTTCACACTCATCTGTGAAAGGCTGTAAACACGGCAGGAGTTTAGGCTTCAGATAGAGGGTCAGAGATAGCTCCTGGTTGGAGGAGCAAAGATACGCCTTATTTGAATAAATTAAAGAAAAGAAGATAAAACTTTCTACACAGAAGTAACAAATTAGATTTGCTCTTGCAATTCTCCAAAGACGTCTTTGCATGTCTTTGCTTTTCTTTCTTCTTCTTCTTCTTTCCATTTATGTCAGGCAAATGAATATATGTCTCCGTTGTTCTGCAGTTTCTGTTGTAATTTTATGCATCGTCTTATATTGGATTTAAACTCTGTAATTCTGTGACGTCGACACGCATTGCTGTTTTCTTCTGAGTGACTACACGTGACCGCCGCGAGAGGACCCAGGATCCAAGAGGAAGAGAGAGCCAGACTTTTTCCAAAATTAATTAATTCAGAGAATCTCTTCCTTAACACTTGGCATTGGTATTTTAGGAGAAAAGTTTTATTTGTCTAGTGAAAATAGCAAAGATTAAATTAGAACAGTTAAACTGCTTTATTCACAATCCTTAATAATTTTAACTTTATAATGTAAACTGTAAATGAATATGCTTTAGGAGTATATTTAAAATTGTCAACAATTTTTTATCTGTTATTATCATATGTCTTAACTGTAAAGCTTGCTTGTATGTATCCATGTACATACATATAATTCAGGATGCACTTAAATGAATACATGTGCATGCAACAAATTAATTTACCATAAAGCCAGGAGCACAGATACATTCTCCAGTCACATTGTGGCAGTCAGCTCCATTCTGGCACTGACACAAGTCAGTGCAAGATTTGCCAAAAAATCCTGGTGTGCACGTCTCATTGCAAAAAAGTCCTGACCAACCAGCCTGACATGTACACTCCCCTGACACTGGGTGGCATCTAGTGAAAAAGAAAACATGATGTAATCACAAAAATTTACTTCACTATGTTGGAGTACTAAATTGAACTGCTTTGCACAGTTTTATCACAGAAAAAATGGTTAATGGTACAATTAAGTCCCATATATTTCATACTCATAAGTTTAAAGTAATCTTTTAATCTTAGTAACATGTATTTCCTGAATCGAAATCAATGTCCTACACACTAAGTTCTTAAAATATAGAAAAACAAATTTTGTACAGTGTAATTTCATCACTTAACACAGGGTGTTATCACTTCAAAGTTCTCCCAAACCTTTCAATATAAAACCTAATTTCCAGAAAAGTTTGTTTTCTAATCTGACAAAACCAAAATTTGTAAGCTTTACAAATTGACAAAGCTGACAGGTAGTCTATGTCAATTACATAATTATCAATGTATCCCTCCTCGCCAAAGAATGATGAGGTAGGTACCATCCTCCCTGCGAGTCTTAACTGCATATGTGAGTGGCTTCATGTTTTAAACTAACTCGGGAGTACTTTAAAATTCTTACCAAATTTATAATTTAGTACCAGCAATGTTAAAAAAATGGAATAGAGGTCTTACATAAGTCTTCTATTTACTGACACTTAAAACTGGGGAAAAATATTGACCAGGGTAAGTTTTAAAGTAATCTGTATCTCTGCTTGTTTTCTATTTAATACAAAGACTTTGACAAAAAATATATCCAATGTTTCTATGATAAATTGTAATTTTAAATTGCTTAGTGGGCAGAATATTCTAACATTTCTCTTTTCAAAAGATATTAGTTGTTTAAATTACTCAAACTTTTTATGGTCATCCAGCATACAGATGACCAGTCAATTTAATACTCTTCTACACCATTCCTGTCTTTGCTTTCTCTTACATATTCCTAAAAGAAAAGTCTATTTTTTCTTTCTTTTAAGTGATAGACAACTTAAGGACTTTAAGACAGCTGACCTGCAGTGTGCAAATACAAGTGGATAGGGGGCAGATAGAGTTTTGCCATTTTAAAACAGCATTTAAAAAAAAAAAACTACAGCATACCTTTATGTGCAACAAGCTGTAACAAGCCCAAAATTTTTCTTACTCCACCATTTAAATATTTTGTGTATAATATTGACTTTTCTTGTTCACTCTGCTTTTCTGCAAACCACACAGCTTCATTCTTGTTCTCGACAACATATTGTTATTAGCCATGCCAGTAACAATTTTATGAAGACATTCCTCTTTTCCTTTTGATTCTTGGACTTACTCTGATACTGAGAAATAAAATCTAAGATAAGTTCACTTTGTTGAATCTTCTACAATCTTCATTTAATGAAATACATTAAGGTTTCAAATCAAATCACTATTGTCCAGTTTATTAAAAAATAAAGTTTTTAAGCTTACAGAAATGTTTTTCTTGGATTTAACTTGTGGTAAATCCAAGTGTGTGTGTTGGAGTGGAACTTTAAGCTACATAAAGCAGAAATTGTGACGAACAAAAGTGATAGTCATTATTAGATTGTTATAAGAATTAAAAAACCCAGTCTGCTTAATTTTCTGATTAAGCAGACTGAACTAAAAAACTTATCTCCTGGTACTTTCTTGGAAGGGTTGTCTTCAAAGTTGATACACATGCATTTACAGAAGTTTTTTTTTTCTTCCCAGTATAATAAAGCTTTATCTTAAGTAACACTTGCAGAACTTTTGTGAGTTCAGAAGAAATCCTGTTTGTATGTCACTTGCATGTCAGACCCATCAACCAACAGCCACCTGTGCTTGTGTAACTGTCTGACATATTACAGTCACACTAGTTAAGTACTATACCTGGAAACTTGCTTTTTCCTCTAAATATTAAAACTCTACATTGATTCCTACAAGTACCAATCGTTTAAATGTGTTTATTCTTGCACAAGTCAGTTAAATCATTTACAGCATACCTTAGAGTTCTTGGGGCGTGGCATGGACAATTCTTTTCGCATCTTAAACCGTAACGGTCGTCAGGGCATAAGCGGATATCACATTTTTCTCCTGTGTAGCCCGCATCACACAGGCATGTTCCGTTGATATGAACGCACTTACTGTTGTTCATACAGTGACAGGTCTTTGCACAGCCAGCACCAAAAGTACCAACTGGACACTCATCCTGGCACCTGTTATCAGCAAGACAGAAATAAGTATTGTCATAGATTTGGCAAAGCAGCAGGTATGAAAAGTGTCAATAAAAATACATTTAGAAATTTAGTACAAAAGTTCTGAGTATAGGCCCCCGACCTTGTGAAGGACTCTGGTTCTTTCAGTCTTATATAAAAAAACTGATCTCATCTCTGCTACGCAAAGGCCGCTCACCTTTACACTTCAGGAGATTTGAAGGAGGGAAACTCAACACGGCCCAAGTAGGGTTGGGCTATATGATATCATTCGCAATAATACAGGTAAAAAAAACTTGCACAGAAAAATACATTTTATTGTGATATGCTTATTTCATGGTGTAAATACATCATCCCACCATACGTGCAGTGATATTGAAGTTGTAAAGGTGAAGGAAACATTGCTAAACTGCCATAAAAACAAAGAATTTGGTCAGCTGGTTTGACAGTCTGGATTTAACTGAATTTGACAGAATTAGCTGATATCTGCGATAAGGATATACACTTCAGCTCTGTGTCAGCTCGGCTCTCCTCTCCACATGGAAAGAACAACCAATCAGCCATGGCGCAAAACTTTCTGAAACACTGATGTCTTCCCAAAAAACAAATAACTTGAATCTTTGCACAAAGTTCAGGGACATTGAGCAATCTGAAACAGGAGAAATATCTCCGATCGTTTTGTCCGTGCCCTGCTAACTCGTAAAGAATTAAATAAATCAGTGGGAGTGAGAGTTTAATGTGCTAATTTATCTGTGACCCGAATCAGATATTCCTCTAGAAAAAATATGAAACAAACTTCGCACATTATTTCCCTTGCTGAAGGGAAAGGGGGAATGAAGGGATGAGAGCTAAAACACTAACATGGAGATTTTATGTGACAGTTGGAAAAATTGAAAATGAAAAATGTTGAAGATTATTAAGAAATGTGCTCAAAGTTTTACTGTTTGCAGTTTTTTTAATGTATTTTGATGTTCAACATTTTTAAAAGGAGCATTTCCTTTTAAAAATATTAAAATATTCTCACTTTTGCACATAATGTTTTTGTAAAAAAAAAAAAACATGAGGGAAACACTTTTTAACATCTTGTAAAATTAGTGTTCTGCTGAACCACAATAGATTGTTAAATTTGTGTATTTTAATTTTTATTTCCATTTGGTAGCTGATTTCAGGGAGTTTTCTGTTAGCAAAATTACCTTACATTTCTATTTATCTATGTTAGCCCCCCACTCCCTCATGTGGAGAAGGGGAGTGACACGACAACCACAAAAATTCGAGAGTCCAGGTGAATGTGACAAAAAAAGGGATTTATTTTCAGCAAAAATATGAGCTCGTACAAATTGTGAGGGAGAAAGGGACAGTTAGGTGGTGCCAACTCAAAGAAAACAGGGCATAACTACAGTTTATGCTAAATAAAATAGAAAAGAAAACCCTACTAACCTGATTTAACAAAAGTTTCACCAAAATTTTACATGGGTGGCACCAACCTAAATAGGTTGTAGAAAATTGTAAATGTAAATGTAGAAAAACACCTATGTGATGGGAATGTACAGGGTATCCCAAACTTACCTAGTCCTGTAACTCCCACCATAAACCTTTACACATAGAGCACCAACAACAAGACATTAGAAGGGCTGGTCAAAGCTGTTAAAGGAGCAAGAACTGTAGAAAAGTTCTTGCAAAAGAATCCTGCCATCCGCAGGAATCGACGGAGCTCCCATCTCCAGGATTAGAGGATTTATGTCTCAGTGAGATCTAAAGAAACTCATCTATGCGTTTATCTGTAGTCGCATTGATTACAGCATCTTCACAGGTCTGTCCAACAAATCAATCAAACAGCTGCAGCTGATCCAGAACACTGCTGCTCGCGTTCTCACTAAAACCAGGAAGATAGAGCACATAATACCAGTTTTAAAACCACTACACTGGCTCTCTGTAGCTCAAAGAATAGACTTTAAAATACTGTTTTTAGTTTATAAATCACTGAACGGTTTAGCACCACAATACATCTGCTGTTGCTGTATTAACAGAAACAGCAGGTCTTCTGGTTCTGGTCTGCCCTGCATCCCCAGAACCAAATGAGGAGAAGCAGCATTCAGCTTCAATGCACCACAAATTTGGAACCAATTTCCAGAAAACTGTAAAACAACTGAATCACTGGGTTTTAAATCTCAACTTAAAACCCACCTGTTTAGAGTTGCTTATGGAACATAACAATTGGGATTTGAATCCCAACCCGAGTTCAAGCGCTAGCAAGAAAAGGTGTGAGGGTTTAGAGTCCACCCCCCCCCCCCCCCTTGAAAAGGGGTGGGGGTTGGAGTCCCCCAGTTGTTTGAAAAGGGGTAATGGTTGTAGTCCCCCCCTACCCCCTCCCTTTTTTTCTTTGATGAGGGCAGAACTTCGACTCGGCAGTAAATTTTATGTTTTTGATTGTT